ACCCAAAAAGGGTGGCGGGCCTGGCCTTTCGGGGCCCAAAGGAATTTTGGGCCAAAACCGGGGGGATTTGGTTCCTTGTTCCTGAATTCCCCCAATTCTTTCTTAAGTTTTGAATTTGCCTTGTTTTTTTTTTTTTTTTCCAGGGGGAACCCTTGGGTTTTGCCCCCCCAAAGGACCCCCCCCCCAACCCTTTTTCAGGCCGGGATGGCCCCCCCCCTTTTGGGGGGTTTCCTTCCTTTTCTTCCGGTTTGTTGGGGGCTTTTCCCCCCCCCTTGTTTTTCCCCCCGCCTTGCCTTTTTCCGGGGTTTTTGTTTTTTGTACTTTTTTTGGTTTTTTTTTTTTTTGGGAGGGGGTTGGGGCGGCCAATTCCCCCCTTCCCCCCGGGCCCCCCCCCATTTTTTTGGGACCCCCTTTTGCTTTTCCCCCCCCCCCCCCCCCCCCCGCCCCCCTAGGAATGCAAAACTTTCCCTTTGTAACCAATAAAACACCGAATCGCACCAAGCAAACGGACGTGAGGACCCTCAACAGCACTGCTGTCTCTAGAAACATGAGCACCTTTGTTGTGAAACGTGGGGGGCTAGTGCTCGACGCCCCGAGGCAGCGGCAGCGGTCGTCGATGTCGTGACGCGGCGGCCTGCCCGAGACGAGTCGACTTCCCTGCTGATGCGCCGCTGGATGTGCTCCTCCACCAACCGATTCGGCCGCAGCTCTCTGTTGTTGATTGGGGCGGGCGGCACCGAGGCAAAAAACGAGAGAGAGAGAGAGAGATTGAGAGAAAGAGGGGTTGGGGGTTAAAATAACTGACTTTGGCTTGATATCACCAGTCACTCGAGAAAACTCTGTGAGTCCATTGAATACACAGAACACAAAGAGCGGCACATGCGTAATATGTACCACACATGATGTACCATGGAGAGAGATTAAATGGGCATGGTCATAAAATGAAGACAACAACCACTGTCAATCATAAGCTGTTCTTGCTGTCGCAACCCTGCAGCCGGAAGAGTCGACAAGAGATATTGTACCGTTCACGACTCGGAGCTTCTTCATTGCCTGTAGAACTCGCGTTCGTCAGCACAGGGAAGCGCACAAGAGGCTCCCCTATTCTCAATCTAGCAAGCAGTCTCGTTCTTGGCCCACTTCTTTTCTATTCTCCTCTCCGTGGATAGACACGAATACTCCTATGTGATACGTACGTATCATGGGCCCCCGCCTTCGTCGATCAACTGAAGTGCACCAACGATTCAATCGGCGCGCGGCAGCTTCAGGATTACGATGAGCATCCCGTTACCGCGGTCGGTGCGTGTCCCCCCCCCCCCCCGGCGTCATGTCCGCGAAGGAAGACGAGCGGGCTGGTGCTGCTGAGGGGGCAACAGACCCCACCAGAGCAGAACAAAACATTCTCGTTCTTCGTGTCGACTGCGGAGGAAAAAAAACTGCGCATCTCCCCGCACAACGCGGTGCGAGTGAGGACGACAGCCGTTCATATGACTATCTTCATTCATTCTGTTTGGCGGCGTCCAGCTGCGGTAAAACACAGCAGGAGAGGAAATGCGGGGAGATCACGAGCAGGAACTAGAACGCATTCCAAAAACACACACACGCAAAAAACGGAACACTTCTCGTCTTTCGCGGAGTTATCCCAGGCGCTGTGTGGGCAAATGAAACTCGCAAGTTTATTTTCTGCTGTTGTTATTTTGATCGAAATCGTCTATTTCAGGATGATTCGGATGATTGAGCTTGGCGGTTTGTTATCTGCCGCCGCGTATTCTCTCGCTACTCGAAATGTATGCCGTGGAGCGAGCGAGGCCTTGCTCGCGATTTCAGGTCAGACCAATAGAAACAGGCCTTCGTATGCAAATGTATTGGCGGCACCGCGAAATCAAAATGAGAGCGGACCAGAAAATGATAAAAGCGTCGACAGCTTGGGGCGTGGGTATTGAGAGTCTTCCGAAATGCACAACAGCAGCACCGCCGTGCATGCAAATAGAGACCTTGGCTAACGCAGACAAGGGGGTCTAACAATCCAAACGGGGCTGTTAGCGAAAAGAGAAGAAGCCTTCGGATACGCGAGGGGGAACAGAAAAAACAGGGACACATCGTCGACTCAGGCGGCACCATGTGTGACTGAACCAACTCCGCTCGTTCTTCTATTTAGTAACACATCCGTGCGTTCATGCGAACAGAAAAAAAAGGAGGCAAGTTGACTGTTGACTGCTCGGTATCCATCACGTGCGACCTGCGAGGTCAGTTAATTGCCACAACGGAACATGCATGTCAGAATGACAGGACCGTTATACCCAGGGTGGAGATGCTACAAGGGAGGCAGACAGCTGCGCAAGGGGGACAAGACGACAGCAACAAAACGGCATCGCCTCTCCTCTAAGACATTCTGTTCGAGGCAGACTCGTGCATTCACCCGACGACATCGTTCCTCGCTCTTCGCTGCAGCCACGAGAGAACGAGGCAAGGAGGCTAGGCATCCCTCCCAAAACAGGCGCTGAGGAGCTCGACCTCACACACGGCACACCCCGCACAATCCATGTTCCATTCCGACCAACCCACAGCAGCAGGTCCTCCTTACACCTCCTGCTGTGGTCTCTCTCTCTCTCTCCGGCACACAGGTTGTTCTTGAAAAAAAAGAAAAATCGAGCTACATGATATACGCACACGCATAATCTCCTGTAATACGTAGGGCAAGTGTCGGAAGCGATGTGCTTCACGGACAACAGAGGTAAGGCACGATTATTTTCGAGTCACGTATGTAGCGTCCCCGGATATTTCACGGCATCGAGAGGTACGACAAAAAGTTGCATCATCTGAAGTATGTTCGAGACAACAACCAACAAGAGAACTTGCAATGCAAGAATAGGAATGGTTTTTTTTGTTGTTTTTAGAAAATGCACGACAGAGACGAGAGCAAAAAACCACATGCAACGATGCAGAACACGACGACGAGTTTATGTAGTGTACGATCGAGACTCGCCCGCCGTCTCTGGTTGTACATATGCATAGATAGCATCACAAAGCACAAGTGCAATGCGTCTGCCCTGTTCAGTCAGAGCAGCTTCATGCCGCCGTGCGTGCTGCTGCTGCTGTCGGCGGGAGAGAGCAAAAAAAATACACCGTCCTGCGGCCTGCCCGCCACCATGTTCTCTCCTCGGAGAAACCTCGTGTTTTCTCGTGTGGTGCGCCCAAGCGCACACACATGGTACATTTTCCAACTTTCAACAACGCTTTGCGGGACAGAGCAGAGCAGAGCGTAAGACTGCTGCTGTTTTTTTCGACGGGTGTCGATGCGCTAAATATCTCTCGAAACAGAGAGGAGTACGACGAGGCAAACGCACCCGCTCGCCAAGGACAACGGGGTCGCAGTAACTTCCCGTGATTTTACCTTGATCCGCCAACGAAACTATGACCCAACATGATGTGATGAGCCACACGACACGGCGGCACTCGCCATAAATAACCCCAGATTTGTCGGAAGGAAACAGACGTGCGCGAAGCGACCCGCTCGTCCCAAACAACACCACCACAAAACAAGGTGTTGTGCGCGCACAAAAAAGCTCTCACCGGAGTAGGGTGGTTCCGGGTCCCAAGGGCGGCTCGGCGGGCTCCCGGTTGCGAGAACACACGAAGTTTCCTATGATTGAAGTCTGGACGTCGTAGGCACGACGCTGCTTGACGGATCTGCTGCCTCCCTCTCTGTCTGTATTTGCCTCGCACAGCAGCAGGTGGTTGTGCACCGTAAGAGAAAAGAGGGTTGTTGTTGTTGTTGTTGTTGCTTTTGGCTCTCCAGAGCCGTCGTGTTCGCTGCTCTGCTCCCCCTCTCTCTTGTTGCACTTGCGGTTACCTCGCTCTCCTCTCTCTCTCTCTCTCTCTCTCTCTCGCGATACGTCCACTCAAGAACACATGGCTGCTGCTTTTCGGGGCCGCTGCTCGCTCCCTCCCTAGCTCTCCGACCGAGAGGTCTGTCTCTGTGTAGTGTGGTGTGTGCTTGCTGGTGAATTCGGTGGTCGACAGAAAACGATCGCGAGGTGTGTGTGCACGCACACCCGCCGCTTATCCGCTGGCTTCCCTCTCCCTTGCGGCGCACGCAACGGATGCTCAAGGAAAAGGCTGGGCGCTTGCTTGCTAACGCGGGCAGGTGGAGCGGTTGAATATGTGGGGGAAAATGAGCAAGTGAGACTACTTCGCCGCACAGCGAGGACCCGGCTCTGTTTTCGGATATGCATACCAAAAAACAAAAAACGAGGGGGGGAACGCAGAAAGGAATGGTCTGAGAAGGCGGGCGGGGACGGCAAGGTGGGTGAGCGAGATCTTGTGGAATCTCTTACTGCTTCATCAACCGCTGTCCGTCTGGGTACGTACAACAACGGGTTGGGGGCACCCTGTGGGTCTAAAGATATCCCAGAATGATATGGATAGTCAAGTTCTTGTACGAGAGACTGCGGTGTACACAAAAAATGATTCAATCAACTGCCTGTGTTGTTGAGGCCGAGTAAAAGTCGAAAAATAGGTATCAAAATCAAGAATCAAGTTGATTTTCGAGCACTGATTGGTTGTTGGCTGAAAACCAGAAAAAAACAGAGTTGTTTGTGGGTTTCCAGCTACGCTCAGTCCTGACTCCGAATTTTTATTTTTTAGACATGAAACCAAACTCAGAATCGACACGGCTTCCCTCTTGGGCCAATCAAAGGCCAAAAGAGCGGATTTTGATCGAATGAACATGAAGTAAAATAAGTGTGTTTTTTTCGACACGGAAGTAAGTGAATAAATGTGAGCGACTGAGAAAGAAAGGGTGGTCGTACAGACTTACTTTGCACATAGCACACGGACGATGATATTGGAGTCAAAAGGAGCCGCTAGCCTGCATACAGTGGTCGGATCGGCTCTACGCGTGTAGCCCCCTCCTTCTTCGTAGAAATTCGTTGATAACAACAAACAGCGATTGGCCCTAGACTATATCTGACGTGCCCGCAAAATCACGTGCGAAGTAAGTTGGTAGCGGTCGGTGTTGAAATACTACGCATAGTCTACCGAAGCTCTTTGCCCGTTGATTGGTGACGATAGCCAAAACCGCTCAGCAATTGCGTTCGCAAAAATCTAAAAAAATTCCTACACAAAAAGCAGTGAGCGTCGCCCCCGATCCATTTTCTCGCGCAGTCACTTGTGAAAAGAGGAACGGTCGGCGACAGACATCGGGGTGGTTTTGACCCTGCGTAAACGTCAAAACACTCAATCGGCTGTTATTCCCTCTTCCTGTCCGAAACAAGACGCTTGATTAATAATGCGAGCAATGGTCAAACGACTACGGCATGTACGACAACGAGTACACCACCCACCTCTGTGTCACTAACACGGCGGCAGTACAACAAGTATCTGAAGGAAACAGCAGGCGGTTTCTGCGGCTAGCGGCGGACACAACACGTAAAAAGCGCTCAAATCCTGGGGAAAACTTGACACCACTCTCGCACGGAGGTATGTCCTGATGGGCGCCAATAAGCTCAACACCGGCAGTTCAGAAAACGGCGCCGCTTGCTTGCATGATACTGCTGTAGCAAGCGCTTCTTCCCACCCTCTTGGACTGCAATTACACCCTGCACGTTCACACCAACCAATCGCAAACAACCAACTCCTAAGAAAGAACCTTCACGGCTGTCTATCGTAGGTAGTAACACAACAGCGGTGTTGGCTGTACTGTAGCAGCAGCACAACAAAACTCCGCCCGTGGTTTTTCATTCCGTCTGCGTCGGAGCAACGGCCGTTTTCCTTGGGCGTCCCCGCCTTCGCTTCGGCGGCGTTGGCGCCGCCGCCGCCGCCGCCGGTAGTGAGCCTGGGACTGACGATGGTGTTGGTGCTTCTTTCGTCGTCTCCAATGTTTTCGCTACGACCCTTGCGACCCGCGCCTTGCCGTCATTCGCCGCGACGCGGCCACCTCCGCCGCGCTTGCCGGCTTCGCGCTGAGCCCCTGCAGGCGCGCTCGCCTTCGAGTCAACGTCCTCCGAGCTCGATCGCCCCGGCGGTTTGCTTGTGCCTTTTCTTGCAGCCTCCCGCTGCTGCAGCGTTTCCTCTCCCAATAGCGGTGGCGGCGGCGACACCTTGCCCCGTCGTCGTCGTGATGGTGGTCGCCGTGGCACCGGTTTCGCCGAACCGACATCATCCCCCGAGTCGGCTGCTACTGCGTGCTGCTGCTGCTGCTGCAGCCCTTGAGTGACCTTATCCTCGCCGGTCGCATCCACGGAGGCGGCGCCGACGTCGCCGCCGCCGCCGCTGTTGCCCCCGTCGTTTGCCGCCGCTGCTGCTACTTCTGCTGCTGCTGCTGCTGCTGCTGCTATCGCTCCCGTCCCAGTGCCATGCTCGGAGTCCCGCCGACCTTTACCCTCAAGCTCTCCTCCTGTCACCTGAGAACCGAAATCCGAGCCTGTTCTCGCCAGCGGGCCGTCGTCACCGAGGTCGCCCCCCTCCTCCTCCTCCTCCCTGCCGCCTTCCTCTTCGAGCCGCTCCTCCGGGTTGGCGTTCGGGTTGATTCGCCCACTCCACGGCGGGGAATCGTCGTCGTCGTCGTCGTCGTCGTCGTTATCCTGGAGGGACAAATCCTTCCTCGTGTCCCCCCCCGCCCAACGCATCCCCTCCTCCGGCCCCCCCTGCCGCTCTCGCCGCATCCTTTCCCTCTCCTCCTCTTCCTCCTCTTCCTTCAGCGCAGCCTCGTAGCTGTACGCCTCCCTGCGGGGCTCCTGGTCGGCGTCCTCCCGCAGGAAGGCGCGCACGTTCTCTCTCGCGCGGCGTCCGATCAGGTCTTCCTCGTCCACCTCGAGCGGCGGAGTTGGAGGCTTCTCGTCCTCGAGGCGTCCCCACTCCGCCGGGGTCAGGGGACGGTCGGGATCAGCCGACTGTGTGTTTCGTCGCGAGCATTGGGATACAAAGGAGGGGACGGAGGGGGGTGGCGCAATTGTTGCGCACCGCAATGTCGTGGGTGCTCACGGATCTCTCTGCTCCCTGAGCTTGACTATTAAGCGTGCCTGCAAGGAAAAACGAACGACTGCCTAAACACGTCTCCTTTTCTTTACGTGGGCAGGACAAATGATTAGTGGGGGGTCGAGGAGGGGAGGCGAGGGGTTCTGAGAGGCTGAAGGCCTTCCTGAGGCACACTTCCTGCTGCATGTGGTCCATGCACAACAAATATCCCATATATTCCCCCAGCACCAAGGTACCACGCCTTTCTCTTGGTAGGGGTGGTTGTTCCGAAATATGAAATACTTGTACTGTTAATTCGCCCTGACTCCAGGCGCATTTTCCTACCGAGCTTATTTTTGTTCTTCGTTTTGGTGGGTCGGTGTGTTTTTTACCGTACCCAAGTTTCTCAACGGATTCGGCCAGCTCTCGGAATTAATTCTCAAAAAGTGAAGCTTTCTCTGAACAATAAATCTATCCCGTTGAAAAATATAGCGCGATATTGAAACAAGGGATCTGGAAGGCCATTTTGCGAAGGTTTGTTCGGGATAACCAACAGTATTATTTCAAAGAATATGTGGCAAACGATTATTTCAAAGAATATGTGGTAAACGATTCCTTTAGCCAACCCTCAGGCATGCATTTTAAACTGTTCCGAGAAAATGATGTTTCGCGAGAAACCCCACTTATTGTTTTGCCGCCAAACGCGGGGTGTGACATTACTATAGAGGAGCACTCTTCTTGGCCAATCCTTAGCGTCCTAGCGACGAATTGTAGCCTAGTCCTATGCATGTCAGCTCCCCGTTTGTATATCGATTGATGTAACCATCGACCGCGAAAACATCACGTCATCGTCCGGGTATTTCCCAGATAAAAAGCCCAGAAAAACAGAAAAAACTCTCCGAAAGAAGATGCGCCTGGAGGCAGGGCGTTCAAAGGTAGTATTAGTTTTCGGTTAACGGTAAATGTTGAAAATGTTTCGGAACAACCACCCCTACCCCAAGAAGAGTGCGGAACTTTAGTGCTAGGCAATTTTTGGACATGTCTTGTTGTGCAAGGACCAGACAATCAGATAGAAGTGGTGCGGATGCGGGATAATTCCGAGGCGGATAGTCAGACGTGTGTGTGTGTGACGATAAAGGTGCGTACGGCGGTGATTTCCGTGGGTTATTCTTGGCCAAATGTCGCAATTTCTCAAAACAAAAAACAAAAAATCTGCACCTATCGACGTAGCACGACGAGGCGCACGAATATCGCTGTTTCACGTTTGAATTAACACAAGTTTTCGCACAAAGCATAAATGGAAAGAACTGCTGTGCATGGACAAAACTTATCTCCTTTTTTATGTTATCCCGAACCGATTCAACCCGCTCCGTAAGGGTAACGGCGTGCAACAAACCCGTCCAACAACACCTGGCAAAAAGCAAATGAGAGTCGACTGGTGCCCGCATGCCCGCCGCACCCACGAGATCACCCACCATCTGTGCTTGGAGGATGGCCCTCTCGAGAAGAGCAGCGCACATCGCCCACCCTCTCAGCGACACGCTGTTTCTTCGAGCAGCGGCGGGCTCGATGATTTCCTATTTCGCCATGGGTCATGCGGGGGCGGGGCGTGTGGAGAATGCCGCCGCTTAGCACCAAGAACACCTTTGGGTCTACCACGCAATGGTCGCCGCGAGCGGCATGATCATGGCAAGGGGACAGCATCCACACTTCCGGGAGAGAGAGCACAACAGAAGCACAAAAGAGCGGCAACGACGACAGCAACGACAGCAACACCGCCACCACCAACACCGCCACAGACAAAAAAACGCGATCTCCCAACCAACTTGTTGCACCGCAGGAAACAAGCATAGTTTGCTATACAGTAGTGGGCCCGCTATAGTGCCGGGTAGTGTCCAGAGGGAAAAGCGGCACTATAGCGGGCACCGGCAGTATTCAGAATAGTGCCTCAATAGTGCCGGACCGGCACTATTGAGGCTTCGAATATCCCTCAGTAGTGCCGGTCCGGCACTATTGAGGAGGTGGTGGTTTCATGGTGTAGCGCTCAAGCTTTGCGGGGCCAACACAGTACGATGTGGATCGTGGATCGAATATGTGTGTACTATGAGTGGACGTGTAAGTCCTCGTTGCTCTCCTTCGATGTTACCAGATAAAAAAAAGACAGCAGAGAACCACGACAGGAAGCGCACCGCACGGAAAATAAACGGCCATTACATGCTACCACAGCTATTCTCCCCGCCCTCACTACGTACCAGCAACTCTATCATGTTTGCCTGCTGGCGCACCCCTTGGATGTTGCAAGAAATAATCAAAACAACCCGAAGAACACAAGCACGACAGGAAGCGCACCGCGAGAAAAAAACAACCATTACTACCTACCACAGTTATACCCGCCGCCCTCGCAACGTAGCAGCAACTCCCTAATGTCTGCCTGGCGCACCCCCTTGGATGTTACTAGAAGAAACAAGACAAAAAGAAAAGCACGACAGGAAGCGCACTGGAAGCAAAAGCAAACAACCATTGCTACAACAGCTGTACCCCTCGACCTTACTCCGTGGCAGCAACAAACTCTCTCATGTCTGCCTGGCGCACCCGCTTAGCGGAATGCGCTGCAATCATCGCCATCTTCCGCACAAGGCATGGTGCGTGCGCCTCTGCGTAGAGCTCTTAGGGTCTGCAGCAGCAGGTGTACACTATTTTCAGTGTGGCGTCTGTCCTCTGGCGTGTGTTGTGGTGTGTGTGTGTGTGTGTCTACAGCACTACAGCAGTAGTGAACCGGCACTATTGGGGGGCACAGCGGCGCCCAACCGGCACTATTGAGGGCGCTGTCCGTGTCCCGAAATTTTACCGGCACTATACCGGGCACCGGCACTATTCAACCGGCACTATAGCGGGCCCCCTACTGTACCTGAATCTTGGCGAGAGCCCCCGCGGCCCACACCAAAGCTTCGCGGAGAGCCTTGTCGTTGTCGGCACGTTCGTTGCGCTCTCTCAGGGTACCAGACTTTCCTCCTCCTCCTCTTCCTCCTCCTCCTCCTCCTCCTCGCCTTCCCCTATCCTCCCCTCTTCGCACGTCTGCGAGATTGGCGTCTTTCGCCCGAGGGCGTCTGCAAAAAAAAAAGACAAAAAAAAGTGCACCATGGAAAAGAAGAAAAGAAGGCGTCTATCGTCACTGGGGTGTGCGGCCAACACACAATGCGGGGGTGATGTGTTTATTTTACTCTGTTGTGTATTTGCTTGGTGTTGGGGAGGACATATCCCACCGTCGATAGGTCGTGCGTGAACGTACGGCAGTGGAATCTTCCACAACGTGAGTAAAGGGGTGGAGCTTCAGCCAAGAAAAGGTGCGGCATCTTCGGTGGAATTTACGTCGTATGTTCTTCTCCGGAAAAATGCGGGTATCCACCTACCTTCCCTTAAAACAATTGAGTATGCATGGTGCACGCATCTCAGGATGCCATACCGACCATATGGAAACATCTTCCCCAAACCATGGTATATATTTGTGGCACACAATATGGTGGAACGTCTGCCGCAAACATCTTCCGCATTACAAGTGTATATTTGTGACACACAACATGGTCATCGTGGACCGTCTCCCGTATCGACCGTTGGATCCTTGCCACCGACCGCATGCTGCGGTTGGGCCAACCCCCGTCACGCGCAGTAACAACAACAACAACAACAACAACAACAAACACACACGACCGAGGCGCACCTGGAGGGGTTCATCCGCCGAATAAATTCCTTGAGTCTCTCCCGAACGTGGACGAGCGACGCGTAATTCTCTTCCTGGAAGAACTCCTGCAAGATAAGAAGAAAACGGGGGGGGGGGAGCGCGGACACGCGAGGGCGAGCCGGAGAGGTGAAAAGCTAGCCCTACGTGGACAAGGTAACCAGGAGCGGGGGGCGATAATCCCACCACAAGGGAATGTGAACTTCGCGCCTGTCGTGTAGTAGGCAAGAGCCCGTGAGTTAGCAGGTAGAGAACATTCAACATGGCTGCCAACCACGAAGTACGCCCTTCCTTGACCTTTGTCCAAGAGCGGGGGGGGCGTACTCTTATGCTTTGCATGCCTTAGCGGTTAGACCATTGACCACGCGTCCTCGAGAGGACGGAGCATTGTTCCCACAGGACCGATCACCGATGGCCAATCGTTCCTTCCTACTTTGCCAAAGGTGGCTCAAAAATGTCTTCCCTAGTTTGTCTATCCTACCGATGTCACTTCCCGCCTTTTCAAACCACTTTCTACTCCCCAGTACAGCTACCGTCCTCTCCTCTCTATTCCATGCCTCAAACATCTCCCTGTACGTCCCTTGTATTCTTCCCAGCTCAGTCATGTACACTTCCCTCTCCTTTTCGTACCACGGACATTCCGCGACTACATGAACACTGTCTTCGCATTCGAAGCCGCAATCGCATTTGAACTTGTCGTCTTCGTCGTCTACCGTCCTATGTCTTCGTCGACGTTCGCGAAGGCCTATGTCCCCGGTCCTGAATTTGACCTTAAGCTTTGTCCCTGCATCCATTGGTCCATGTAGGTAATCCTTGAACCCTATTCCTTCTTTCAACATTCCGTACACTTCTAGACCCTCCTTATCCTTGGATTCTTTCCTTAGATTCTGTTCTTCTCTGTCGGCACAAGCAACAGATATCTTCTTCTTGAACCCCTGTAGACCCTCCGTTTCCAGCGTTTCATCTTCGTCGATGTCCAATCCCTTCCATACGTCCTCTACAACCTTGACCCATTCCGTGGGTTGTCTACCCCTCTTTTTGTTTGCCCACTTCGCCTCCCATACTATTCTCGGCAACCTCTCCTCTCCCATCCCGCACATGCGATACTGCCATGTCAGCTTCCTTACGTCTCTTCCCGACCGTAGGGATTGGATCCCCAATTCTGCCCTGACTGCTGCATTACTTGTGCGCTTGGAGCATCCTAGGATGATTTTCGCTGCTTTCATCTGCGCCGCCTCGAGTTCTTTCACTACCT